AGAGAGTTGTATAGATTTTTCTTTGTAAGATGAAGGCAAACAAATGAGCTGCTGACCACAGGAGCCAACGCTATGTCAGGTGACTAGAAATGTATTATTCACTACAAATGTTAAGCGTTTGGACCATCCTCTGCATAGATTCCTTCACAAAAATTATAAAGAGCTACAGTAACAAATACATTTCCTATAATAGTATCTCTCTTACATTTTCAATTTCTGAAACGTTATCAAACACATGTCTAAAAACACCATCTGCCACTGAAACAACCTATTTATCCCCACAATAAAACTTCTGGTTTTCCTTTACAAAAATTACTTTAAGTACATTGTTGACAATGCAATCAAGTGTCACTCATTAGTCATTACAAGTGATCTGATTCACAGATACATTGGAGCTGCTCTGCACCACTGTGAGTACACAAAACTATTCTGAATATTACTTAACTGACCACTGAATAATCTCTTGATCACAGAGCTCCATCCTAGGCCATCCTTAATCCCAACTAAAGGAAAAAAATGCAAGATTAAGGATGTTCCTTTATCTGGAAAATTCCTGGCTTCTAAAAGTGCCCAGAGGGACACTGCCAACAGAAAGATTAAAGCAGTTTACAGGCTGCTCTAATTAATACCAGTTACAATCCAGAATTTGGAAGGAGAGTCCTCAGCAAGGCTGGAGAAGATAGAACAAGATATCAGTTTAATATAGTGAACAGTATGTGTGCAGGCTTTTTCCAAATTGTCATGAATTTAGATTATCAGAACTGTAAATAAATAGCAGATGCCTTACAATTAAACTGAAAAAAACCTTGTATCCGTACTTTTCAGTTATACTAGATTTAACAACCTGATTGTGAATGACTAAACTAGGTGCAGGAATATACAGTGAGCTCTGCCACAAAATTCAGATCTGCTTGGTCCTTAGTATAATGAACAAGAATACACATCAATATTTTGAACAGACTTTAGGAAGTCAACTGGTAGAGAAGAGTCCCATGAGTTCTAGTGCTCATTTTCATTACTTATTCTGTGTCTTTTCTTCTTCTCCCCTTCTCATTGTGTTTTCTCTTGCTCCTTGTTGCCTTACTATAGTTAAACAAGGTCACCTGCTGGCAAAGACACGGGAGTCAAAAAAGGGCAGCATACAACACATTCTAGTACAGAATCTGTGGCAGAGCTGTGACAGTTAAGAGTGCTTTATATTTATTATGAACAGTTTTCATTTCTGTATTTTAAAGTGGAGAATATACTAAAAAAGGGATGAGATGGATGTGGCCCTGTCCTAAAATCTTAATGCATATCAAAGTAACTTAAGAGTTAATTTAAGCAAACCTAAGGCAAAAAGAGGCCCAAAACTTGAAAATGCTTCTTTTTATATTAACATAACATTCTAAAATTCTAACAAAATCTATTATAAAAGACAAGAGAGTGTATGTATGTGTGTGTGTGTATATAAATCTTAATTATACAACTTTTCTTTGGTACTCTAGTGCTGAAAGTTTAAGATGACACTCATTGTAGGTGTGACAATGATTATACCCTACTTAGCTCCTGAATTTCTATAAGTCCTGTTATGGTTGTATCTAGTTTCTGTACTATAGTTTACAGATTTTTTTTTCTAGTAAAAAGTTAGTCCACGTGCTGCAAGCAAATCTATCTGATATGAATTGCAAATATTCATTTAATAAGGTTAGTACTTTTTCAAAAGTACTGTTATCTGTTAATCTTAAACCAGAAAACAAAGATTAAAAAAGTAACGTGCTCAAGACATCTTTAAGAAAATACAAAAGATAACAACAGATTGCACAATTAGTTTTAAAACGAAGCAAGCATGTATTCAATTTCAATGGCTAAATTTCAAAGGTAAACTTTGGAATGGGAAGGTGCCATTTTTTGTAGTCATGGATTGGAAAGAAGTTACATGTGATTTTTAGGATTTTAATTAAGTATGGTATAATACAGAGTATGTAGTTATGTGTTGACATTTAAGATAACAAATAAGAATGGTCAAACGTACTAACCACACATTTTAAATAACTTAGAAAAAGTGCTACAGGGCCACTGGAATTCAGGTGGAGGGGGAGAAGAGAAAGAAGGACACTGACTACAGATATTAACTCTCATGTGAACTTTTTATTTTATTTATCCAGTAAACTGCAACCCAAATGCAAGATCTGAGCTTGCTCTACTATCTGCAATATTTAGACTAGTTATGTTTACATTCTGCTTAAAGTTTTTTATTATTCTTTTTCTTATTCTATGCTAAGCAAATTTTTACTTTCAAAACAAATGAAGCTGGTGGAACAGGCTGCTATGCTGAGAATAAACTTTGTGAAAGAGGCTGATTGCAGACTTCCAAGAAGGCAGACAGCATTGACACTCTAGCCCAAGGGTTCTAAACCGGGGGTCCATGGACCCACAAGGGGTACGTGAAGCCTTGTCAGGGAGTACATGAGGTTCAAGTATAGGTAATTTATTGATATTTTCAATACAAAAAAATCACACAATACTAAAAAAATTATGTGAAAAATCTTAAATTAATTTAAGTTCGTTTTATTATTTTCTTAAGAAAATAATATAGTAATATAGTTGACTCGTGATAGCGTAAACATCTACCTAATTATTTTGAATCTCTCGCCTGATCCGATGCATAGCATCAACTGTAGGCATGCATAGTTGCGGTTACTGACGTTGGCAAACTAATCTGTACTAGTCGACTTATTTCATCGCTTGTCACAGAAATAACTGTCAGATGCTCTTTATTAAGGACAGACATAGGCATGTACAAGTTTGTTCTACAAGTGTTTCTTAAATTCAGTGTGGATTACTTAAAGGTGTGTATTATGTTTAGTGGTTTTTTCATACAGTAGTAGTATGTTTATTTGTACTGCTACATTTTTTCAAACATTGTTCATGCATTTTCTTGATATATTTATTACTAATGAGACCCGTGCTTCCTTTGCTCAAAGGTACTCAGTAATGGGTATATGAAGCCATCCAAACTTAAAGAACATCTGCAGACTGTTCATCCTCAAAATGTTAATGACCCAGAGGCTGTTTTTAAAATCAAACAAGCATGATTTGAATCACAGGGCACTCTCGTCCAGCACGGATTTACTCCCATGAAGAAACCAGCGCTGGAGGCTAGTTATTGGGTGGCATTACGGATCGCCAAAGAAAAAAAGCCCCATACTATTGCTGAGACCCTGGTGAAACTGTGTGCCATCAAAATGGTCCAATTAATGTGTGGTACAGAAGCAAAATGAAAAATAGCACAGATCCCATTATCAAATGATACCATTCGTGATCGAATCAAGGACATGTCAGAAGATATCCTCAAATAAGTGCTGGAGGAAATCACTTTGCAGATGTATTTGGAATCCTAAACTCACTGAACATTTCATTCCAAGATAGTAATATGATTACTTTGGAGGACGAAGAGATAATCAAATCCTTTAAAGAAAAATTAACTCTCTGGGGAAGAAGAGTGAATTGTGGTAACTTTGCCAGTTTTCCTCTCTTTGATGAAATCACTTCTGATCCAGTACAGCCAATTCCAGTGGAACCAAGAGTTCTCAAAAGTATTATTAAACATTTGGAAAACCTTAAGATCGGCATCGATGGAATTATCCCAACTGGTTTGGCAGCTGACATTTGAGTGAGGAGCCCCTTCACAGTGTCTCTTGAACAAATTAATGATACCGACCTGGCAAAAGATGAACTTCTCAAATTGAGAAATCATCAAAAACTTCGCGTCAACTTCGAATCAATGACACTGTACCAATTCTGGTGTAAACTTGGTGAGGCATTTCCCATCCTGACAAAACAAGCTTACCAAGTTTTAGTTCCATTTGTCACAAGTTACCTTGGCGAGTCGGGCTTTTCAGTGCTTACCTCGATAAAAACCAAAGCGAGGAGCAAATTAAATACGGAACATGATATGCGTGTGGCTCTCTCAAAAACGACGCCTAGGATAGAAATGTTGGTTCATAGTAAGCAGCAGCAATGTTCACATTAGTGAGACTAGTGTGGTTTGTCCATTTGTAAACGGACATTTTGTACAATTTTTGTGCAATTTTAAAATAAAGTTTGTTTAAAATGAACATCTATTGATATTTATGTCTTATGGATACCCGTAGTTTTGCTTATTCACATTAAGTTATAAAAAATGTGATTACCGAGAGCGATACATGATATATTTAGCTGAGACCAAAGGGTATGTGGACCAAAAAGGGTTCAGAACCACTGCTCTAGACTAAGCTGTGCAACTGCAAGGCTGAGAATATTCTAGCTATAGGCAGTTTGAGCAAAGGAAAAACAAGGCTATTAGGGCAACTGTTGGCAATATTGCACAAAACTGCCCTGAAGCGAGAATTCCCAAGTATATGGAAATCCTCAAGTGCCATAGCAACACTGTAGCAGTTCCTACACCAGCACAAATCCTGTAGCGGATGTCAGGGCATAGGGCTGCTTCTGAAGGCAGTGATCTTCAGCTGCAAGAAATGTCCCCTTTGTGCTGTGGGCAGTTGGTGCATAGCTTTTAAGATGCCTTTCCTCCTCCCTGGTCCTGCAATTGCATGAAGTCCTCTTTTGCTGTAACTGAGGATCAAGGTAAAAATTCTCTTTTTGTGAATGTATTTCATCAACATGTTTTTATGGGCTGAAGTCATAAAAAACTCTGAATGGGCACCTCTCTTGGTTCACTTTCAGTGAGTCAGGACATTTTCTTAGGAGACAATAAAAGGCCTACGTGGATTCATTCCTGGAATGACTGCTACTTCAGTTTTTTAAAACACAGCTGTGAAATATGATTTTGATGCCATTTATATTAGAACAGCTTTTTGCCAGTGTAAATAGGAAAAAAAACTAGAGGTCTATAACTGTGTTAAGGAAAAATATTTTAGTCATCAATCAAGACCTGATTATGGCCTAACATAGAGTTAGGCTCCTTCTCAAGTGATTTACAAAACACACAAGACAGACTGACATGAACTTTACGAAAATTTCCACTGAGTCCATCCTCCACTATCCACATTATTTCTGTTTTCAATTGGGCAACCACTTAATCCTGTGAGAGGTTTTACAATACACACAGGGTTGCCTTATATCAAAGGTGAGCAATAATTTTTGACAGGGGGCCACTCCAAGATCTTGGAAAGTGGTCGAGGGATGCACTTTCCATGATATTAATGAAGGAAATGTGGTGTTTTGGATGGAGGTTGAGTGTAGAGAGAGCTTGGGGTGCAAGAGGGAGAATGGAGTCTGGGAGGGAGTTTGAGTGAAGGAAGCAGCTGTGACCTAGGGCAGGGGACTAAAGGGCAGGGTTTTGGGATATGACTTAGGGTAGGAGAGGATTGTGATCTGAGGTAGGTGATTGGGGTCTCACACCTGGGAAGGGGTGTAGGTGCAAGAGGGGGGCAGAGGGTTTGGGTATGTTGATTCGGGGACAGAGTTGAAAAATGGAGGAGCTGGGGTGCCAGAGGGAAGCTCTGCCCAGGAGACTTACCAGCCAGCAGTAAAACAAGCCTGCCTGCCGAGCTAACGTTTGAAGATCTTAAAACATTTTCCAGCCAGTCAGCCTGCCCAGCCATGTGCTTATGTGAATAACTGAGTTGAGGAGAGGGGGAGTGGTTCTTCTTGGCTGCCTGTTATTCAAACAGGCAGTTCCCATTGGCTAGTTTCTGGCCAGAAACCGGCCAATGGGATTGTGTTGGAGGCGGGGGCAGTTCCTGAAGCTTTCCCCCCTCCCTTCCAGTTTTGAAAGAGAAACCGAGCCTGGCAGCCACATTTCTGAATGGCATGCAGGACAAGCAGGGGAGCTGCCTGGGGGCTTTCTGGTGCCTCTGTGAGCCAGATCCAGCGGCTTGGCGGGCTGGATCCGGCCTGCAGGTCATATTTTCCCCGGGCCTGCACTGGATAGACATAAGGGCTACGTCTACACTGGCACCCTTTTCCGGAAATGCTTAAAACGGAACAGTTTTCCGTTATAAGTATTTCCGGAAAAAGCGTGTCTACATTGGCAGGGTGCTTTTCTGGAAAAGCGTCCGTGGCCAACGTAGATGCGCTTTTCCGGAAAAAAGCCCCGATTGTCATTTTCGCGATCGGGGCTTTTTTGTGGAAAAAACTACACTGGCCTTTTTCCGGAACAGTTTTTCCGGAAAAGGACTTTTGCCCGAACGGGAGCAGCATAGTTTTTCCGGAAAAACACTGACAATTTTACAGTAGATCGTCATTACTTTTCCAGAAAAGCAAGCGGCCAGTGTAGACACAGCCTTAAAGTTTTTAGCAAAACTATGCTAGTATCGTGCATTCCTGGAGTACAGTCTATTTTTAAATTTGAGAGAGCAGCTTTTAGGTAACATGCACTAAATACTGTTTTATTTAATACATAGAGTTTCAAAACTATCCAGTCTTCTGTTATCAATAATATTAAAGAAATATAAAACATATGATTTATAGTTTCAAAGAGGTTAATGATTATCTTTCAAATGTATTAGACTCAATTTTTACTTAAATGTTGTGTTCTTTTCTTACTGCTTCATGATCTATACTAGGAAGCTTGGATTTCCTTTTTATTATTTAAACAAAAACTGTACAACCTTGCCTACATGCTACTGTGCCCAATACTGCCTTATCCTGGCATGATACAGGAGAACTAGTGAAACGAGAGTCAGATTCAAGAAACAAAGATGAGCAGTGCGGGTTTGATTAGACTAGGAAAAAGAGTCAAGGTTAGTCCCTAGTACAGAATCAAGCTATCACGTCAGATTAGCAGAGAGACATCAGATTAGCAGGGAAAGGAAGCAAGAAAAAACTCCGCTTTTAAAAGTTATAATAAAGTCTTCAAGCCACCATTTTACAGCATAAAGAAGCAAATAAGGACAAAGTCTAATTTTTAAATGAAAGTCCTTTGTAAGTCACCTGTATATCACTGCAGCAACGGCTTTTACAAAGCCCAGATCTGTCAACATAAGCAGGGGTGCCATTTCTGGGGGGCACCTCCTCATTTTACATTGGAGGTCTGTTCATAGCACACACAAGAGCACCAGGCACAGCTCTTACCAGCTCCGACACACAGCCAGGTGCCCTGCCTCCAGGAGACAGAGTCCTTTGGTTCCTGCAGTTAGTTACCTCTGCTGTGCTAGTTCACTCACCCCGCCCTCTAGTCTGTCTCCATTAATCAGTAGCTACTCTCTTCCAATGGAATGCAAATATGGGGATTCAAACTGAGTCTGACAGTTTGGAAGATGGGAGACTTGCATGGCTTAGCCCGCTAGGGTAAAACAACAATAGGGATGATGCAAGCAACTTAACCAGCCCAAAGCAAAGAGAAGCAGGGTGGCTCCCTGGGAGGTTCAGGGACCAAGTAGGGAACACAAGGACTGCCAAAGGCGTGGCTAGCAACAGACTTCGATAGGCAATGTGCAATATGCAGGGGGCTCAGCTCCAGGCCCCCCAGAAGTGGCAGGCCTCAGGTAGAAAGGGCAGGGCTAGATGCAGCCAGCTCTCAGCACTTCCTGGGCCACGCCACATGGGGCTCTGGTTGTGGCAGGCAAATATTATTATTGCCTTTTACAGCAATGAGAACTTAGTCACAGCATCTAAACACAGACTAGAACTTTAAATACATATGTACAAACAAAATAATGAGCAAGACTCCATTTTTAACCTCCACTTCAAAATGTAGAGTTTTCTTGGTGTTTGGTTTCAATAAGTCTCCAATGAGAATTGCCACTTAATCACAGAAGTGTTGTGTTTAAGAGCTTTCTGGAAAGTAAAAAGCCTTTAAAGAGAAGAAAAAGAGACTCTCTCTTTCAAAAAATGTCAGTTTCACTCCAGTTTCAAGTCAGTTTCTCTTTTTTTATTATTTTCACTAAGGCAAAGGTGGACAAATACTGGCCTGAAAGTGGGATTCAGTCCACCAGGGTTAGCTCCTGACAGGCCTCCATCGTTATATTTACCTGCATGGCTGCAGATACTGGTGACCAAAGATCCCATTGGTTGCAGATCACAGATCCCAGCCAATGAGAGCTGCGGGAAGCAGTGTCCCGGTCTGTGCAACTTCCCATCATTCCCATTGGCTAGGAATAGTAATCCATGGCCAACAGAAGCTGTGATCGCTGTTCATGGCCAATGGAGCTGCAGGAAGCAGTGCGTATAGGGACACCACTTCCTGCAGCTCCCATTGGCCATGGACAGCCTCTCCTGTTGTCTGGGAGCTGTGATCACTGGTACCTGCGGCCATGCAAGTAAATATACGGCAGCAGCCTACTAACTCTGGCAAACCGCCACTGTGTTATTGCCCAGCCCTACATTAGAGTAAAACCCACTTAGGTTGATGCAATATAAACTCACAGGGCCATGCCCTAGTAAGATATTTCCAAAAGTTAAATGATCTATTCCAATTTTGAGATTGGAAATATCTTGCCGTTTTATCTCCTGATTGTTCTAAGCTTACGTATAAACATAAATATGGCTTTCATTGGTGTTTGAATGAAATTTTTCTCTCTTCATATAGGAATTAGATACAGTGCTCATGTCAACGAATTTCTAAGATATTAGCTGAAAGAAAGGCCCCAGAGTTTTCAGGTGCCTAAGTAGTTCTGGGGATTATGGTTAAAGCCGCTTCCTCTCCCAGCTTTCCTCCCTTCCCCGCCTCCCCAGCTGGACCAAAATCTGAAATGGGCTAACAAGGTATGCAAACTATACAGAGGTATCTAAGATTACACAGCTATGGCACCATCTGATACAAGAAGCAATAACCAACAACAGGAAATTAACGGAAATCTCAGTTATTCCTGGTAGGTTGTGATTTGCATGTCTATTAACAACCATCATTATAAATAAGTTTGTTTCTATGCCCATTCAGTGCTTTGTGCCTTTCCTGACTGCCCAAGTATTTTCCAGTTAGTGCCAGTTGTGATAACATTTTTTTGTATTAAGAACTCATTCCTCACCTGCACCTGGAATCAAATTAAATAATTTACAATAAAAATGAGTAAATACAAATTTTCTTTTGCACCTCTTCCTTCTTTGGATTGTGGAAGTCACCATAAAGGATAAATGGATTGTATTTCAATTTAAAATTTAAATGTAGACTATAAATAAATAATTGGGTAAGAGTCTGCTTGATTAAGAGGCTGGGTGAGAACTGTTAGTCTTGACAGTTTTACTGAAAGGTGGTATAAAAATCTCTGTAGATGTATTTTCTCTGTGACTTTTATAATTAACTAATGTGCGTTAGAATATGAATAGCTGCATATTTAATATCTTAACAAAAGAAATCAGTGAGAATATATCTGACACCCTCTCTAGACCCCACTTTCTATGTCAATCTATAATCTCCAATACCCACCTGTTATTCTGTGCCAGTTCTCCCTCCTGCTCCTTGTCTGACAGGTGTGGAAGGAACTTCTCTTGATCCATTTTTGACAGGTGTAGCAGGCACGTCTCCATTGACACCTTCAACACCACCAACAGACATCAAGCTTTTCCGCTCTTTGGATGTAGATTTGTGCTCCACTTTTGTGACTCTAAATCTGAAACAAGCAATACAAGAACCCACTTAAGATCATTTGTTTTGTTTTTCTTCAGAGATCAGATAATCCATTTTCAAACTGCCAGTGAGGCAAGTGTTATCCCAACTATAGAGATGGAAAACAAGGTATTTTAAATGGGCTTTCCAAGAACACAGAGGGAGTGAAGTCTAAAGTTGGGATTTCCTCTCTCAGATGCTAGTGCTTTGACCATACATACCTCTCTTGTAAAAAGAAACAATAATAAGACAAAACTACACTAATGGTTGAGCAATCATGAATAGCCAAAAAGCAGAAAAAAGAGAAAAGAAAGCACCCAGAAACTAGAGGGGAAACTGCATCTTCTGTATTTGATACTTACTGTGAAGGAGGATCAAGAGAAGGAAGAGGATTTATCTGTAATTCTTGCTCTCTTTTTAGGCAGTTGTGTTACTGAATCCACAGCTTTGGATTTCTATTCATGCTATGAAGAGATTTCTAAAAATTCCATAGCAAAAATTCTAAATCCACCTGGCTCTGAAGCAAAGTACAATTCAATAATGTCCTTGACTACATTGAAAAGAAACATATTAACCATGTTATCCCCCTCTGAAGTGAAATTCACTTAAATTTTCTCCTTATGCATCTTCCATTTCCATCCCCTCAAAAAAAGTGTAAACAGTCTGAGATGTACAATATCACAGGTATCAGCGTCCACATGCTATGCACATGAGCAGATGAGAGAAAGAACCTGAATCCAGGTCTTCTTTCTGTGCTTCCCATGATGGTGAAGGTATTCATCCATAACAAAATATCATATTATAAGGGAAATTTGGGGCTTTAGACTTCTCCAGCTAAGGGGAGAGCAAGAGAATCAGAGAGAAAATATGTCCGCAGACTCAATAATATATCTCAATGTTACTGAAATATGAGGACCCATCAAGAATTTCATGACAATAGCAGATTAGTGCAAGACGCGGGCCTTCAGCCCTCATTTTGTGCCTTTTGGGAGGTGTTATTTTAACCTCTAAACTGAGGAAGGAGACTGAGTAGGATGAGAAGCCTGAGGAGTGGTGACTGTGGCTAGGTGAAGAAAATGAGATGAGGCGCCAGAGATGGGTCAGAGATAGGACTTGGACACAGAGACAGCAAGTTATATGAGCCTATGGTGCCCATGCTCCAGCAATATTCAGGACATGAGGTCCTGTCTTCACCAATATTCAGGGCCAGGTGTCTTCCACTGCTCTGCCTTCTTCCCCCACACACGTCTGCCAAGGGTCATTGGCTGAACCCTGGGCAGGAGGCAGCTGCCCCCTACAGCTTCACACTGCATTCCCTCACCAGCTGCTGCTACCAGTAGCAGCAGTGAGCAACCCAACCCCTGTCCACTCCATTCTGCTGATTCCAGGCATCAACTGTCACCACAGCATCTTAGCACCTTCTAACCACTAGTTGGTCCCAACCCTTCCCTTCTGCCTTGGATGGATCCTTCCCTTTTCATGCAGGAACCTGGAACAGCAGAGGGAGCCCCTTCACTTCCAGCACAGGTGAGTGCCAGGCAGTAGTGTCCATCATCCCTTGCCCATCATCCAGCACTGGTGTCCCCCAGGACTCCACACCCCTTCCATTGCCTTTTTGCCCCTCTCCCAGCACTGGGGGGGGTCCTAAAATGCCACCTTCAGGTGAGGCCAGCCCTTATCACCCCTCTGGCTCAGATCCTCCTTACCTTACCCCCAGTGGGGGCTCTTGGGCATTTCAAAGCGCAAGCACCCGCATGGAGCCTGGGGTCAGCAGGGGACTCAGAGTCCCCCGTTGACTCCGGGCTCCATGCTGCACTGCCACTTTGAAATGCCATGTGGCACCCGGGGTCAGCTGGGGACTCTCCAGCTGACTCCAGGCTCCACATGGCATTTCTGCAGAACCCGGAGTCAGCTTTGAAATACCGCACTGGAGCCTGGGATCAGCTGGGGAGTCCCCAGCTGACCCCAGGTTCTGGGGAAATGTCGCAAGGAGCCCAGTATCAGCTAGGGAGTCCCCAGCTGACCCCAGGCTCCACACGGCGCTGCCGCTTTGAAATGCCACCCCAGTGACTAGTCCTTAACATCCTTCGTTTGTACAGCATCTAGAATAATGGGGTCATGGTGAATGACTAGAGCACCAGATTCTAGTGGTAATACAAATTAATAATTAATCATTAAAATTCTTTAGCTTGTCTATATGCTTATCCAAAACCCAACAGAAAAGCATTTAATAAAAAAGAGAATTAGTGTACAAAGTTTGACCTGTACATTCAAACATCTGATGTCCAAGGAAACAGCACAATGTCTCCAAAGTTAATTACCGTCTTGCAATTCAGAAAAATCCATTTGTTGGGTTGTGGTATGAATTGTTATAAAGCATATAACTAATCCAATACTGAAATCAAATGAGAGAACCATGTAAATAAAGCATGAAACAAAGCAAAACAGTCTTACCTTCCCACAGAAAGTACTGTAACTTCTCCTTGTCGGTTTTTTCTTGACTCTTTAGATTTGTTGTTTGGCTTTAAAAGATGCCATCTTTTGTGCCTACAGCGATTACAAACATCCTTCTCTGCTACTCCCCCAATAGTATGCAAGTGATGGCCACGGCAGTTATGTTTTGATGGGGTTTCACTTGGTGACAAAGGTGAACCTGGACTTTCAGGACTGCCTGGAGTTGTAGGAGACCCAGGGCTATTTTTGAAAACAAATGAAAAAAAAAAAAAAAACTTTAAATTGCATATAATTGTTCTTCTTAGAAATAAGGTCTCTTTAAATTTAAATAATCATCCCACCTTATTCTCTGATAATATACACTCAGGTTGTATCCAACTTGTGTTAAATTTAGGTTCTTGTTTTTAACAGAAGATAGTTTTTGCTGACTAAAACAATTTAGTCTGATGTAGAAAAGTCAATGATTGATTCCAGCCTTTCTTCCTCTTTTACTGAGAGAAAAGCACCAGTTGGGTTTAAAAATGAAAAAGAAAAAAAAGCAGTTTTGCAAACTCACATACACATCTTCACTTTCTCTTGTGAAAAGAGACAGAGAAGAAAAAAATATTTAGTTTTTAAGTCAACCACGCATTCATGCATCATCCCACAAGATTATTCTGAAATTGGCCCATATTTGAAAACTAACATCTCTCAAGATTGTAAAGGTATTTGCCTCAAAAAACTGCTCCAAGTAAAACAAAGGGAATGGAACAAAATGAGTAAACTACGCATCTACACACACACAGACTTTGTACTCCTATAATTATATTTATTTTAAAAATAGTATAGTTAAAAACGGAACAATCTTCCTCAGTGTGGATGCAGTTGTACCGGCCTAGAGGTGTTTATATCCATGCTGATATAGTTAAAAATGTTTGATCAGTAGAGTACAGACACAAGCACCTTTATGCCACTATAACTGTGTCTATTCCAGAAGCAGGCAATAACTTGAAGTAGAAACCCTGTGACTAAGCTCCTAAATGACTATTATTCAATGTTATTTAATCTAAAACTATAATGAACATACTTTCAGTTACCATAATAGCATTTAAAGGGTTGCAATTTTACTGAGATTTCAGTTTTAATTAACACAGAATCATTCATAAGGTACATCTTGATATAGCAGAGGAAAATACACACAGTTAAAATAGAAAGGACTTACCTTGCAGGATCACACACACTGTTATCAGCTACCATGGCCTTTAACATATCAGCATTTGCTACAAAAAGCACAAACAGAAATTGTTAAAAGAAATGGGTTGCTGTCCTTGTATAATATAGTAAAAAGTAAGCAAGCTGAAGACTCTAGTTTTGACTCAGACCCTACTTCGCTTTCAATGCACCTTTGCTATCTCACAACTGAAATAAAGGGCTCTGAATGTAATTCCATCTAGACAGCAGAATTTGCATTATGGAATCTGAAGGCAGGATGCCAAAGGCAACAAGTTAAAATTTGTATGCAAAGATATCCTTGATGAAATATTTTAAGAGTTAGTTAGACAAACACCCATCAGGTTGGTCCACCTGAAAACTTGACTCCCTTATATCTCTGGGATTCAGAAATAACCTGTTTAGATTCAGTTAAAAGTATCTTGATAAAAAGCAGGTGCAATTCTACCAGGTGTACCTATTCCCACAAGTGGAACCAGTTCCAACTTTGGTGTGGTGACAGACAGGTTGATGCAGCCAGTGCTCCATTACTGAGGTTCTACTCAGCATAACCTCTTTCACGTTCTGATATCCAGGGAGATACGCAGCAGAGATGTCCTTGTGGATACACCAGTTCCATAGCTTGATTGCTTATGAACTCAGGTAATGGGACCTGGCACCTCTTGGCCTGTTCATGTAATATATGCAAGTGAGGTTGTCCGTCAATACTCAAACAGTCCAGTTTCTGTGAAGTGGTAGGAAATACTGGCAGGTATTGTGGACTGCCCACTGTTCCAGGAGGTTGATGTGTAAGGTGGACTCGGTGGGTGTCCATCTGCCCTGTAATAGTGTGCTTGAAGAGATGCATTCCCCAGCTAAGGAAGGAAGGAAGCACGGATTATAAGTATCATGATAGGTGGAGGATGAGGAAAAGGGACCCAGGCACAGATGTTGTCAGGGCACATTCATCCACAGCAGAAAGTTCATGACCTGGGTTGGCATGAAAATGAGTTTTTGCATGCTGTGCGTGTGGCTTCTGTATGAAGCCAGACCAGAAGACAACACATTTGCAGCCTCATGTTTTGACCACAAATGTAGTTGCAGCCATACGTCCCAGAAGATGAAGCATGTGCATGTTGGGATTTGGTGGCATGTTTGGGCAATTGAGACTAGTTGGGTTATCACTGCAAATCTGTGAGATGGTAAAAATGCTCTTGCCCACTTGGTATCAAGTGCAATGCCAATGAACTCCAGTGTTTGCACTAGCATTAGTGTGGACTTTTCAAAATTAATAAGGAGGCTCAGTTTTGTAAAGAGAATTGTTGTACTGTGGACTGCTCAGAGCACTTCAGTCTCAGATGGTGCTTTGAAAAGGCAGTCATCTAGGTATGGGAAAATAATGATACCTAGTTTGTGGAAAAGGCTGCAACTACTGCAGTGCTGTGGATAGTTTGAAGTGTCTGTAACAGTAATGAAGATGGGAGATGATGAACCGTAGGAAATGCATCCTGTAGGTCGAGGGCTGAGAACCAATCTTCCTGTTCCAGTGCTGGAATGAATAGGGTGACCGTTGTGAAATGTAGTTTTGACAAATTTGTTGAGATTGGAAAAATCTAGGATGGGGCACCAACTACAAAACTTCTTTTGTACTAGGAAGTGCTGAGAGTAGAAACTGTGTCCTCTGTGTTGGGGAGCATGATAGGGGTGTCTGCCCCACACTGACCCTTTAAGGATTACAGCCCAGCCCTTGGAGAAGGTTGGAGCCATGGAGCCAGCATCTGAGGCAGACACAGCCAATTAGAACCCAGCTGGAGCTGTCTAAATAAGGGCTCCTAAAGGGATGGAGATGGACTCACTCTTGCTCTACCTGTGGAGCAGGAGAGACCTAGCTGCCAAGGAAGCTAGAGGCTTCCTGACTTAGAGCAGGGCTGGAGAAAGGCAGGCAGAGTCAGTGAAGCTCTGGCCAGGAAAGCTCCCAGGCTGCAGGGTCTGAAGCAAGCGAGGTCTGAGGGTTCTAAGGCTGCAGGGAGGCAGCAGGTCCACACCTGCTTGCCAATGATGAGTGGCCATTTCAGACCTCAGTGGCTAGACGAAGACTTTCAGTAGTGTCACTGAGGCAAGGTGGGCATAGGAGTTTGGGTGTTCCCTGAGGGGGAAGACCCCAGAGTGTGGGGAGGAGCACTGTGGTAGAGCAGTACCCAGAAGAGAGGGTGCCATGGTCTAGGAGGGATGTGGGTCCTAACACAAAGTGGTAGCAAACAAAAGCTAACAGCAGACATGACAAAAGGGGCTAATGAGCTGATTCCCTGAGTGACCAGCAGGCAGCACCATGGCAGCGAGTTGCGCCATGTTACAGGGAGAGACTGGTTCTATGGCTCCCAGCTGAAGGAGATGTCTCACCTCTCCTCCCTCCAA